TCAGGTGTGAGGTTGGTAAAATAGGTGCCTAACAGGTAAAAGTACTGACGGTCATATTTAACGAATTAACCTCCCTATAGATGGCCATCAACTGACTACAGCGAGTTCTTGAAGCAGAACACATTCAACCTTCAAGTAATTACAGAGCCTAGAAGTTCAAATCTCTTGGGATACCTTCCATGATGAAAACAATAGAATTTTTTCAATACGTGCCCTTTTTCCCATTTAAATTGCGGTAATTTCATGTTGTGTACGTCTGCATTTCAGTTGCTCTAAGTGGTTAAATGTGTTCTTGACATTTTAAATTTATGAAAACATTTTTTCTGACATTTCCTACGTTTACTTTTATTTTTTCCTTCTACTTTCCATGTTCAGTTTGGCTCAGTCGTGTCTGTAGACGAGAGGTCAGGAGTTAGTGAGAGAGCAATTAAGTCAGGCAACACCGCAGGCGAGTCTCCCCGAGAGGCATGATAGGTGTGAAGTGAGATCTTAGGAACTGCACATCTTAGGAACTGCACAGGCGAACAATAAGGTAAACGCTACCGAAATTATACCAAATTCATTTCAAGTGACCACAGACTAAGAAAAGGCGTGGTCGGCTAGGAACGGATCAAACTGTTCATATTTTATGTTACCAGCAAGCCTGAAATTGTTCATGCATAGTAGTAACGTCATCGAAAAATTCACCTCCGATGGTAAAAAGGGGCATAACCGGCTAGCAGGGTATACATTATGACTCCGAGAGCCCATTCGTCAACAGGAAAGGAATACCCTGGCGCATCTTCATACATTTGACATTTCAGTATTTCCGGGGAAAGGTAGCCGGGCGTTCCACACAGTTCTGAAGTACGAAAAATGCTCTGAATGCAAACAATGGTAATTTTGTTCATTATTACCTCTCAAGGTTTGGTTTTCCTTGAGTCTCGTTGCAAAGCCAAAGTCGGAGATCACTATTCGTTCATCGTCAATGCACAGAATGTTCTCGAGTTTCAGATCACGGTGTAACAATATTTCTACTATGCATATAGGCCACACCGTCAAATAGCTGACGCATCAGACGGCGAGCCTGAAACGAGTAGAACAAAAGCCTCCTGAAAAGAAAATTGTTAAGAAGTTGTTGAAGAACCTTCTTCTCTGAAACTGTCACTGTGCTATTGAGCTGGTCAAATAGTTCTCCTTTTGGAGCCATCTCAAAAACAGCGAACAGGAACGACGGAGTTGCGTAGAAGTCATGGATAGAAACTGAAGTAGGGCAATAAATCAGATAACGAGTGCGAAAAGACATCTCACTCGAAAAGAATAAAAAAAAAATAGTGTTTACTTATTGATGGGTGATCAGAAATTAGCCGCAAAATCTCGATCTCAGAAATCGTTTCCTGTTTGAGACGACGCGCTTCTTGCTGAAAAGTGAGGAAATATATACCATTTTCACTTTAAATCGGACACTTTTCAAACCAAATCGGACACTTTTCAAACCAAATCGGACACTTTTCAAACCAAATCGGACACTTTTCAAATCAAATCGGACACTTTTCAAATCAAATCGGACACACCCCTTACAATAGGCAGTTGATAACTATACCACACTAGGTACTGCTGCAAGCCCCGCCCAACACCCGCCCACTTTTCAGCGCGGTCACGGTTTTCCAAAATGTTCTATGAAATCTGCTTCTTCGACTTTTTTCACTTTTGCTAGTTGCACACACACTTCGGCTGAAAAGGATTGGTACCGATCTGACTCCGCCCACTTCACAATGAAGTGTAAGTTCTGAATTTTTATAACTTTTTTCGACGTCGTTTTTTCACATTCAATCTTCACAAAACGAATATAGCCATGCATTTACACTAGCACACTAGGCCCCGCCCTCTGACCACGCCCACTTTCGTTTTTCGCGGAATTTTGATTTTTCTTCCGAATTTTCACTTTTTTAGGCTGTGACAAGCGGCCCCCCACTAATGGAAGCTCCGCCCACTTTGTAGAAGCCCCGCCCACTTTTCAAAAATGATGCAGATCGGCGAGCTAGTGACCGTACTAGCAGGTTATGGCCTCTCCCGTCACCCGGAACAAAGTTTCCCTTTTTTTCTGGTCTTTCCCTTTTTTTCATTCTATGTGACGGGAGAGGCCATAACCTGCTAGTACGGTCACTAGCTCGCCGATCTGCATCATTTTTGAAAAGTGGGCGGGGCTTTTACAAAGCTTCCATTAGTGGGCGGGGCCGCTTGTCACAGCCTAAAAAAGTGAAAATTCGGAAGAAAAATCAAAATTCCGCGAAAAACGAAAGTGGGCGTGGTCAGAGGGGCGGGGCCTAGTGTGCTAGTGTGTAAATGCATGGCTATATTCGTTTTGTGAAGATTGAATGTGAAAAAACGACGTCGAAAAAAGTTATAAAAATTCAGAACTTACGTCACTTCATTGTGAAGTGGGCGGAGTCAGATCTGTATCGGTACCAATCCTTTTCAGCCGAAGTGTGTGTGCAACTAGCAAAAGTGAAAAAAGTCGAAGAAGCAGATTTCATAGAACATTTTGGAAAACCGTGACCGCGCTGAAAAGTGGGCGGGGTGTTGGGCGGGGCTTGCAGCAGTACCTAGTGTGGTATAGTTATCAACTGCCTATTGTAAGGGGTGTGTCCGATTTGATTTGAAAAGTGTCCGATTTGATTTGAAAAGTGTCCGATTTGGTTTGAAAAGTGTCCGATTTAAAGTGAAAATGGTATATTCCGCAGTATGTCTCGATTAATGTTTGAACAATGATCTTCCGAAAGTTAGAGAAAACACAGGCTCTACTATACTTGAGGGGAGCCGCACGTCGGCGCGATCTCTCCTTAAAATAGCATACCTGCGGGGTCCGGTTACCTAGCTCTTCGAAAGGTGAGCCAGGGTAGAAAAAGTTCTATCAGTCGCATCGTCGCGTGGCCCTTCCACTACAGGGACCCAAGGCATTCACAGTTGCTATCGTTGCAATCCGGCGAAGCCATGTCAGGAAACGCGGAAATGTGCCCAACCGCGGCCTTTTACTGACCGGTGGGTTCTACCAGAACCGGTCTTTCGTAGGAAATGAACTACAGTTGAGCTCATTCCACGCCTCCTCAAACCGCCCGCCACGATATCAGCTGTATATGCTGCTGGCGAGAAGAATATACAGAGTAACATTCATGGCCCACGAATACCCAAATCTTCCGATCGAAATTTCTTAGAGAAGAGTGAGAAAGTGCTCCCGGAAGGCACATCCCAAGATCAAAAAGGGTCGGTGTAGTGTCAGATACTAATGACAATATAGTAGGTAATTTATGAGTGAAAATAAAAGTAGAAAAACTCGACTGAAGTGGCGATCCGAGCTTGCACGAGCCCACTGCGGAGAGAGCGTGTTTTGGACGAGTTCACTTTTGCTGGTACTATGTCTTCCGCTTATAACTTCACTCTCAGCATTTACAATGAAGAGAGCTAGCAACGAAACAACCGCACCACTGGTAAGAAGCCTTTAGAAATGAACGGCGGGTGCGATTCAAGCAGTGGGCAGGACATTGTCCTCGTCGTGCCCTATTCCTGAGTTGTAGAAGTGATATCTCCCGTGTTTGCGAATGAGACCACCTTGTCAAGGACGGCCCCTACACACCAAATAAACGTTCAACGTCTCCTATGAAAGTGGCAATTCGTGCTTTTTCAGCCTCAGCAGAAGACGTCTAGGTCGTCCGCGATGAGTTTCTGTATGCCCGCGTTGTCCTCCCCCCTACTAACGAACACTAACACCAAAATTATATCAGTACGAGAACACGAGTCTCAATTCAGAAACAATAACGATCACCAGCTCACTTCCGACTGTTTTTCCGTTGAAATGTCGACTACTTTAACTGCATACACTTGTCCAGTGGCTTTCTCAACGCACTTCCGAACAGTGGACGCCAATCCCCGTCCCAGTACCTGCAATGAAGCAGATTCCATAATTCATTATAATACAAGAAATGTGGAGCTACAGAAAATCTGCAGAAAATCCACTGGTAACCTAGCGGATAATTTTCGTGAACCCCTATAAAGCTATGGAATGGCACCGTTTCCATTGGGTTCCCATTTCTCCGAGTTTTCTTTCGAGATATTTAACGGCATCCCACCGCCGAGGTCCGAGCTGCCCCTTCCCCCAAAAACCTCAGACCGTCTCTTTACGTCTAGATACTACGGTTACAAAAAAACCAACTCCCACCATTTCGAAGGTTTGCATCAATTTGTAGGATTCACAGAACTGCCGGTATGTTGACGGTAGTCAATTCCCTCCCCACCCCTCAACCGCAGAGCGGATTAGCACCGACAAACCAGCTCCCAATTAGAACAAACCTCTTTAGATTCGTATATTGCGTAGAAATCACAATCATTCCGCAACGGTGGTGTTGTGCGACCGTTTTCTGGTTCATCTGGAACGCAACAAGAGGATCCCTGTGGACTATAAAAGAGGAAAATGAACTTACCACGATCATCGTAGTCGGACTCAACATCTACTGTCATGAAGAGATCGAATCTTAATTACAGGAAATGCTTACCAACGGGAAAAAAAACGAAATTGCTGCGATATTAGAGCGTGAACTACGCCAACAATTGACAATTCAGACACACATGTGTAATAGAAGATTTTGTAGCATTAAAAACAAGCAAATGCTTAACGACTTAACATCTAATCACAATAAGTGTAACAAATGATGACCTAGATGACTAACTCGGAGGTGTTAAAAGGAATCCCGCAAGCACATGCTCGAGTAACTCCATTTCTCTAAAGGGTATATAACGCGAATCAGCCTAAACGACTGTTTGGGCGACAACACGCTGCCGATCAAGAACACTTGAGCGATATTCTACGAAATATCTACCCGCTCCATTAAAGCAGGCAGCATAGCGCAGAAAAAAAAACAGATCGAGTAAAAAAAATCGATAAATTTCCTATGGTTTCTTTAAATTTCGAAAAGGAAGATTTTCACCATAACCAGTCAGACGAGCATACGACTGAGTGAGTATAGGTGAATAACAAAAACAATTAAGGATAAAACAATCGAGAACTTCTCATGAAATGAATACCATCAACAATTGGTCAGACCACACGATAGTCAAAGGCATAGTGGTCAGGAACCCAGCATAAAATTTATAGAGAAATAAGCATTCAAACATAATAGAAAGCTCCATGCAAGGGTGAAAGGGTTTGCGACCGATTCCACACAAAAACTGAGGAGTTCAGAGGTGATAAAGAAGATGAGCTGTTTATGAGGCACATGGTTGCTCATTATCCACAGGGGTCATAACGGGTGACGACCCTCCGCCGAAAATTTGCGCTTGTGGAAACAGTGAACGAGCCTGTCGAACGAAGGTGTCCAACTGAAAAATTACAATTGATACCTAGTTATATGAATAACGAAGCCTAACAACGCAGAACAGTTCCTTCACTTGTTTTAGAGGAACCACTCGCAGCCCGAAAACTTTTTTGAAGAAGTGGAAATTCAACGGTTCCCAACCTCCTCTTTGCTCCACGTGCCAAATCGTCCATACTGAATTCCGCTGTGAAGGTTCACTACTGTTTTCAGCGTTCGACCAATCAGTTTTTCGTCCTCCAGCGACTTCATGATCCAGTTTTTCGTTGTTGACTCGCTTCCAGGATCAAGTATTATGTTGCACTCAGCCACTTAAATGAAAGATTTCAGTATAGAATACTATGTCGAAAGTTACATGATCTCCTCAACACTAAACCACCTACATCACCGCCAATTACTCGCCTTCTTTCGGAAAAAGGGGAGCCTCATAGAGGGCGGCTCGAGATTACCTGTGTTTTTCCTCAAGGTTCTGTGTTTACCTCAAGGTTAAGTCAAGTAGCCCATACACTTCTATTTCATTTTTTTCGCTAATTACGAACATTTATTTCTGAACTGGCTAAAGTACATACCTGCTAAACGATGACGTAAGCTGTTCACGTTATCATTTTTGAAATTCTCGTTAAGCACGACAGGATCCGTGATGCTGAAAAGCTGGGACGACAGTTCCTTCACCAAGTCACCGACAACCCCACTGAACGTCGCCGTTTCCTCTATAAATCATGTGATTTAGAAACGAGTAGAGTGATTTCGTCTAACTAAAATTATTTACCATATTTCAAAAACTTGACGCGGCATACGTGTAGGTATGGGTCATTGGTGTCCAAATCAGCAGCTTTTTTCAAACATTTGAGCATTAGCAACGGTTTCTGCTGCAAAAAAAAGGAAAATAGTATTTTTTGGTCAAGAAGGGTAGGACGTCACCATGCTGGGTTCAGCGCCAGGCTCAACAGAATATTCTAGCGTAGCAACCTGATGAACCCAGTTGTAGAATTCATAATCCTAGGAGGAACAAACCTTTCTAAGATAAATCTCAAATCCGAGATTGTACGCAGTGACGTGCTTACTTCCAAGCATATGTAAATGCTGAATGAATTTAGCAGCATCATCCAATGGTTTCTGCGTTTTCACCAAAGCTTCTGCGTCGAACTGCATGGCCGGATTAGTGTACTCATCCTTCTGTGAAAAAAACCGTTACAAGATAGAGATGAAATGGAAGATTCAAGAGAACCCACCTTTCCAGTGTTCTTCTTTTGTTCTTGTTCTTTCTCCTGTTGCTTCTTTTGCTGCTTTTTCAACTTCTTCAACTCAGCAGCAGTGAGACCATCAGCTACTGGACCAGCTCCTGTGAAGTCTTGCGGGCGATCTACCATCCGTAAGTAGATCTGAAAGTCATAGAAATCAATGCGGCAAGGTGAACAGGATTGAAAATGAAGGTCTATGGAGTGCTTGAATTCGGAACCCAAAACTGCATCCTTTTTCTGCTCTTATCTGCACTCGCTGTCCACGTAGCGTTGGTGGACTCTGTACGCGCGCACATTTCCACACTTCCGCATAATAAGTGGCCCACCTATCAGAGAGCCCTCCAAAATACCGTTCACGAGCTTGCAGTATGTTCATTTGTACCTCTTAATGTTCTGGCAGCAACACTCTCTATTAGCCTGTGCTCTGGGTTTCGAAAACCGCAGTAAAAAGTTAAAGCGTGTAATCAGCAGAGAATAATGGTGAAAATAAAATGGAATTTACCCTGGCAGCAATTTTAGCAGCCTGATAGTAGAAATCATGAGTACGAAGGACATCCTCAAGACGTAGCAGCTGGACGTACGAACATAACGTCACCTTTCGCAGACAATAAGTGTGGAAGTCGTATTGGTCTTCGATCATACCCACGAAATGCTTAAAATTACGCTTTTGAGTTGAAAAATAGGATTGTTCAAGTGTCAGTACAAGTTCACCTGTTCTATCTGATGGACTTTCTTCAATGCATCACCATACCGACCTTCCGCAAGAAAACATCGAGCACATTCCAATTCGTACCACATACACTGCATCTCATTCAATGTTGTTGACGCCCTGTCGCCCTCCTGAAGGCGAAACCTCTTAAAGGATGTCCAAAAACTACTAAATAGGTAGCTCGGAAAAAAGGCGTAAGATGGGTCATTGCTTTGAAGGAGGTATCAGGTATTGTTCACAAGAGCGGAAAGGTGGTCTCTTCAAACTTCGACTAGAACAATTCATGGCTTCCATTATTTCACATATCCCCTTCTGACGAGTCGTCGCGACAACGGGAAGGCGCGAAAAT